CAAGCCCCGAAGCCCCGAAGCCCCGAAGCCCCGAAGCCCCGAAGCCCCGAAGCCCCGAAGCCCCACTCATTCAGATCACACTCTGGCCCCCTCAACTTCCGGAAACGACTGACGGGGAAGAAAACCCGAGCACCCCAAAATAGTTCTAAATACTTTGTCTTAGTGGGAAATCCGACAGCAGATAAAAGAGGTGTGACTCACTCTGCAATGTGATAACCGGCCCCACAGCAACAGTACTGAGCACGCTAAACGCCGGAAACACCAACATACCGGAAGCTCAGATGCCCCGACCGCCGCGGTCCCCGTCACATGCTCTCTCCTTCACATTTAGATCACGCCAGGATTCCCAGCCTCGCTCCTCGCCTCATTCCCTGTGTGTCCTCCACACCGCTGTTAACGCCGTTACGCGCTCGGGCTGATTTCTCATTGTCCACCTTTGAAAAGGGAAATCGAACACCCGTGTTTGTTCCCGCGTTCCCAGGCTTTCATTTCGAATTTGCATGCCGCGCCCCTCTCAGGGGCGTGGCCTCCGCTGTTGACTCCGCCCCCGGGGCCCCCTAGCTTGGGGAGCCGGGGAGAGATCCAGGTGTCCCGGCAGAGACAGGAGGCCTCCGGGAGTCCTCCCTGGGGGAGCACCCTGGGCCTCTCTTTTTTTGAGACGGAGCTAATTTTTGTATTTTTGGTAGAGACAGGATTTCACCATGTTGAACGTCCAGAGCCGTCTGTATTTATGGGGTACAGGTTAGGGGACAGGGCACTGAGTGCTGAAAAACGCGTGCTTTGAATGAAGACAGCTTCCAAATAGGCTTTGTGTGAGCAACACGGCTGTTTACTCACCTGGGTGCAGGTGGGCTAAGGCCGAAAAGGGCGTCAGCGAAGGGCAGCGGGATAGGAGTTGGTTTTTTTGTCTTGGGTAGTTTTTTGGGGGGACGGGGCACAATAAGTTCAATTACGGTGGTGGGGTGGGGTGAGAGGTGTTTACATTATCATAACAACAGCAAAGAGGGCGGGGTGGAAACACGCACGGTGGCTCACACCTGTAATCCCAACAGTTTGGGAGGCCGACGCGGGTGGA